CCTCATACATTCCTCTTGTAACTTTCTTTCAAACTCCGCAATGATTTCCTGAGAGTTACCAACTTGGCCATTTATGTCTTCATTAACTGCCCTCTCTAACTGTAACTGTCTTTCCAATTCAACTAATTTCACCTGAAGACCTGAAGTTTCATTAAAGGATGCTGTTTTCACTTTCTCTAAAAACTCATTCTTCTGCCTCAGTTCATCAACTTCTTCTTGCAAGCCAGAAAGACTATCGGAAATATCTTTTGCAGCACGCAGATTTTCTTCCAGAAGAACATTCTGTTTATTGGTTAATGTCAGCTCAGCTTTCAGTTCCTCCATTTCCTTCAGCAAGATATCAGCTTCTTTTCTCGTCAATTCTTTTAATTCTTCCATTTGACGTAAATCAACCAGTAACCTTTGCACTTGGTCATTTAGTCTCTGACATTCCTCACTGCTTTCCGTTCCGTTTTCCTCCAGTTGAACGTTCTGTTTATTGCTTAATGTCAGCTCAGCTCTCAGTTCCTCCACTTCCTTCTGCAAAATATCAGCTTCTTTTCTCGTCAATTCTTCTAATTCTTCCATTTTGTGTAAATCAACCAGTAGCCTTTGCACTTGGTCGTTCAGTCTCTGACATTCTTCACTGCTTCCCGTTGTGTCTTGTACACTTTCCACAGCTAATGAAAGTTTGGTTTCAAGTGTACACAGTTTTTCCTGGAGGATCACATTCTCTTCGGAAACCTTTAAGGAAGCATCCTGCAAGAGAATACAAGTCAAAGAATTAATATGTACTTAGTGCTAACAGACCAATCAGAATGTCCCATTGCAATAATCTGTATGTCCTGTTCACGAGTCTGACTCGCTTGTTGATTTCAAATGTTCTTATAAATTGTTTTAGAATCTAATAAATAAATCAATTAAATCATGTGACTTCAATGGTAGGCTTATATTCTGAGCTCACAACAGGAAATGTGATAGACATGTTTTCCATTGAGCTACCTGGAACACAAGGTCAGTCATTAGCTTTTGGGCTATATGGTGTTGAGATAGATCATGAATATTTATAAGTTGATCAGTAAGCAGCTCATTAGGAAATTTACACTGAATTGTTGACTCGACTCACAGAATGCCATAGACGAGAATTTACCATTAATATACATCCTTACATGGGTTTGGACAATAGATTCTTAAGTAAGATAAAACCACTGTACTTGATATAAAGTCTTTCCCGTGATAATTTATTAGGGCCTAAACAGTTTTTTTTTATCTCAAGTGGGACTTATATCCTGAAAGTACTCATACAAGAGGTTAATCCTATACTGGTAAAGTTTCTCTATCAATCCCCTGATTAAAAAAAAAGAGTAACCACATTGCCAAAAAAGATTTTGTTATAAACCAAGTAGTCCCTCAGCTAAGATAGCCCCAACTGTTAGCAATGCACATGTCAATTACAGAATTGAGGATATTGTCATGAAATGAACAAATCTGAGAGAGGTCCACTAAGGTAACAGCGGAGCTAAAAATTGCAAAACTTATTTTTTTTTTTACCATTAAGCTGACAAAGCATTAAGACTTGTGTTTTTCAACAAGAAGTCAAAAATATTCAACTAAGATATCATCACAAAATGAACAAATCTGTGAGAGGTCCACCTGAGATACGTATACATGTATGTATAATATCAAAGCAATCAGACTTGCGGTTTTTAACAAGAAGTGGAAAAAGTAAAAACTTGACGCCGACAAATGATAAACTCCACTCAACAACGTCAACCTCAAAGCTAAAAATTGCAAAACTTGTTTTCTTTTCACAAATAAAACTGTTCAACCTTCATCAAATGAACACTGTCTGTTATCACACAATTTTAATACTATTGACCTCATAATGTAAGTTGGTTCTACAAGGCTGTCAGCAAATCATAAATGAATAGACCATTTTCCGTACCATTGCGAGATCTCGCGAGATGCATGAA